TTTATCAAATGATGTAATTTTGGATCTTTTTCCTCTTAATTTTTTTGAGACTTAGTAAAAAAAAACTTTTTCCAAAAATTTACACATATTTTTATTTTTATTTTAGATTGGTAATTACAAATAATCATTTATCATATGCATTATTATATGAACTCTTGACATTTTCTTTTTAGTGCTAAAAAATAGATTGTAGAATTTAAATCATTTTTTTGGTTAAGGAAAATAGAGATTTTCATTGTAAAGTAAAAAGAAATTACATTAAAATCTCTATTTATTATGACATTATAACCTAAAATTATAGCATAACCTATGACATTAATCATAAATTTAAACTATATTGACGAATCTTAACAATTAAGTATAAGAAACCATCTACCATTAACGCTCAAAAAAGTAATTGCCATAGAGGCAAAGACGGGGCTACCTAGGTAGGAGAATTATTCTATGGAGCAGTCAAAATTTCTTGGAAAATTCCATTAAAATTGACAACTTTTAGGGAGATTAGATAGGCCAATAGGTTACAGTCCCCACTCACCACTAGCCCCCTTTAAATTCAAGCTCTTTTGCCACCAACCATCTCCTCTCAGTTGTCCTGAAGAATTCAATAAGAAGGGATTCCACATTTTTGAGAGAAAATTATCTTAAATAATAGTAGATTCGCCTTAAATGAAAGAGCGAAAGAAAAAAAAAAAAAAAAAAAAAATTTGAAGAGTCATTTAGCAAAACTACAAAACGTATTTGCAATCCATATGCCTGCACAAGGATAAGGGATGATGAATTGACAATTTAATTAAGCAATGAGGAAAAGCAAAACTAGTACACCATTGAGATTTACATGGTCTTATCTCAATTACTTGGTGTTTCAAACATGGCTTAATTTACTCTAGATTAGAAGTTGACTTGGGCTTGGATCAATCTGGTATGCATTCCTTGAATGTCTTTATAACAGTTTCAGATATGCAAATTGAGTCTCTTGATACCTTGAATTAGTGTTTAACAGCGTACTCTTGGTTAAGCAAACCCTCAAAATCTATAATTCAATCAAGTTGTGTGCCAGAGATCAATATTTTTCTTTTGGGCCATCAGAACAGACGTGCCAGGGATCAATTCAATACCTTCCTAAACTCAATAGCACAGCAAGAGAAGGGTTTGCAGCCTTATGGCTGTAGATTTCAAAAAGCCAATTTATTTATGCTTGAACTGGTCCATAAAGTCTATCCAAACTTAAAAAAAGAGAAGACACCCCATAAAGTTCATGTCTTGGAAAGCTTAAGTGGCTCCAATTCTTAAACTCCTCACTTCATAAGTCAAAAACAGAAGTATCCCAGAAACGTTTTAACTTGTTTCTATGTCAAACCCAGAAAGGGTAAATGAAAACCCACAAGTGGAGATAAACCTGAGAAGAAATTCCTGATCTTTAAAACAAAAAAGGGCTAAAATCTCAAAATTGACCACACAAAGCTGTGAATTGTCTAAGAAGACAAACCGGGATAGAAAAGAAAAACCAAAGACTTACAAAAAAAAAAAAAAGAAAGAAAGAAGGAAAGAGAGAGATAGAGAAAACAGAAGGAAGAAGAGAAAGTACCATTTGAAGTGGAGGATCAACAGTGTTGCTGGCAGTCCCTTCTCCATTCTCCTTAATCCCTTCTCCTTCATTACCCATGTTTCATACAAGAATTCTCAAAGGAAAAAGAACGTTTAGAGACCAGAACTGATGTTTGAAAATGGGTCTCTTGGGTGAATTACAAAAACTTGCCTGGCCTCAACAGAAAGGCAACGAACAAGTGGTAATGGCAGGTGCCACCTCTTGTTGCGAGATGGAAAGAGGACAAATTTGCAAGTAGGCAAGTAAACGAGGTTGGGTTAGATGAATCTGTTTCGGTTCTGTCACACCAATTTGGTGAGATTGGACTTCAATTCTTTAATAGAGTTCTGCTGACCTGAGAAGCTAATGTGTTGACATCATCATATCATGTAAAAGAAATCTAATTGGGAATGACATCTTATTTTTTTGCGACAACGATAATAAAATATAAATTATTAGATGTAT